GAGAGAGCAGAGTTTAGGGCTGTTGTATATCGGGTCGCTATGAGTCGACGGCACATAACAACAACAACAGCATGGCAGGTTTCGAAGCAGGAATGGCATCCACTTCCTAAACAACATGCCTCTGGAAACTATAAACTTTGATAAATGTTGATTGTTGTAGAGGGGCTTCAGGCCTTTTGTTCATAGGGTTGCTATGAGTTGTGCTCGACTTGAAGGCAATTAACAAGACGAAGAAAAAGAACTAATTCTACAGAACTTAAAGTGAAGGTTCTGGTGTAAATGCACAATTTTAGAATGCTACACATAACCCAAGGCCACGTATCTATACACATAGCAGTATCTCTGGTAACTGTAATAATAGCTCATGAAAGGGCTCTTCCAACTCCTATTACTCATTTCCCTCTGCTCCTCTCTCTCCTAACAATAGTGACACTATACATTGCAGGATTATTATTTCAGTCCTCAGATGAACCTTTGGCCTAGTGACTTACCCTTGAGGCATGCTATAATCACTGAGAAATGTGCTCCCTGTCATGTCTTATTGCTTAATTACGGCTCTGCTTTAGGCTCCTAGAGTCATTTGGTTTGGACAGACAGACTTCTTTTCTGTATGCTCTTTGAATATGCTTCCATGTGGAGTCATTCTTGAGTTCCATTTTTGCCTTGTTCTGGGGTTGGGCAATCACTACTGTTAGCTACATCTTGAATTTTAACACTCAAATTTATGCTCTCTACAAAAGATGACACTATCAACACTACCTCTTAAAGGTATGTGATTCTATTTTTCTAATGCTTAATGAGTATTTGTCCACTATGAAATCTGTGCTCTATCCCTACCCCTTCTCCCTAAGTTCAATCTCCCTTTTCTTTCTCTAATACAGTTCTAACTCATAGACATACTTTCCAACAGAAGCTTCCTTTTCCCCCCTGCACTGTTGCTTATTTTCCTTTTAATCAAATGTATGTTGCACTCAGAGCAAAGAGTAACTGAAAGATACAGCAGATCCTAAACACTGTGGTCAACTGCAGAGCAGCTGGACTGAACATTTAAAATTAGGAGTGTTGTGAAAAATTAGAAGTAATACTTTAGGAGGATGCATCCATGTTTCAACTGCTTATTTGGTTTTCTATTAATAAGACATTTGGTTCTTTATGAGTCTTTGCTTGGTGTCTATCTTGGACCCTAAACTGGACAAAAAGCTTCTTAGAACAAAAGGTACCTCATACATCTCTGTCCATATAAGTAGCTGCATAGAGTTTGATCAATAGCCTAAATAGCTGATCTTGCATTTTTCAAGACAGCTGTTTGGAATTAGGAGCTTGGCAGTAGCCTGACATTAAGGCAAAGGCATCACCGAGAATAGAATCCCGCTTCATCCCTCCAGAGAGTATTCAAGTCATGCCTGGGGTAGGTCTATGTTGAGAGGCAGTATAATTACTCTAGTCCAGAGTGGCCCCAGGTCTTGTCTGGCAGACTGAGTTATATGTATCAGGGCTTTTTAAAATGCTGACCTGGCCTCTTAGAAGTAAAAATCTCAAAGCATAATTTATAAAGGTCATTGGGAATGGCCTGGGTCTGAATAACGTGGGCTCGTTTTGTGCCAATATTATAAAGAGGAAGTCAATGAACACTTACAAAACCTTCTTGAGAATAGTATCTAAGTAAACAATGAGTTAAGTTTCCGAGTTCTTAGAATTCAAGGGCAATCCAGCAATGAAATTGCTCAAAAAATTCCAATCAGACTTTTTTTTATCATCCGACTTGGCAACTCTACATCCCTGGCAGCTGTGCTATCAATGAACACAGAGATTTACCACCTACAAGTGCTGTAATTCAGAATTATGTGGAAGTAAAAATACCTTGAGAAAAATCTATTATAAATGCAGTGAGAGTTGTCCTGTATTTGTGTGGTTTTTTAAAATCCCATTTCTCTGGAATCTATAAAAATGACTCTAATTTAAAGATAGAAGTAGGGAATCTAAGCATTAAGGAACTTGACATCAGGAATAAGAGCTTAGGTTAAGCAAAATTATGCTTTAAAAGAGAAAATGACTGCAACTTGGTTCAAACTGTTTTTTAAGTTAAATAAGTGAGATAACACAGTTAAACCTCAAATTACACACTGTGTTATTAAGAGCGTTGATAACTTTATGCTTTAACTACATGAGAACTGGAAGCAAGAGTTTAACACTAGGGAGCGAGTGCTCAGCTCTAAAAAGTTCCCCAACAAACCTGAAGTGGTAATTGAACCAAAAATTTAGTCAAAGAAACCAACAATTATTCTAGATTTATGACATCACATGTCAAAAGCCTTTCGAATGCACTATGTTTTAAAAACATACAATATTGGGGCTATCCTTGAAAGGCCAGTGCATATGGTCCTCATACCAATGAGCTCTATTTTTCATTCATTTGCTCTTGTTCATCCCACACATGGGATACAGCTGCCGGTGCATAAAACTGATGCAATATAATTTTGTCACTTATTTCATCACCTGAGCACTCAGATACCACCCTGGGAAAACCAAGCAAGATAAGGTTTTTCAAAATAATTGTTTCAGTGAACCTTTTATAGCTGTATTTGAAAGCGTATCTCTCTCTTTCTCTCTCTCATACACACACACCCCTGAACTGGTTATAAAGTAAAATTTTAATGTAGTGAACTTCATAAACCAAGTAATGTAAGACATACATCAAGAGCACAGAATTGTACTTTTACTATTGCTTAAATTTAAAACAAGACAGTTGGCCAATAAGTCACTAGTCTGAAATTTCTCATCTGTAAAATAAGACAGTAATAAATCAGCTGATCTCTGAATCTCCACCCAACTATTTTACTTTGTAAGTCTGATTTATCCATATAACTTGAGATAAGTGCTTAGAGTGTGAATTGGCTTTTATCCTTTTTTGCACTTAACCAATATAATTTTATCTTGTTTATTAATGAACTTTCCTAAATGAGGACTTAACAGAGAAGCTTTGGCGCCTTAGTGGTTAAGTAGTTACACTGCCAACCAAAGTGAACGTGGTTTGAATCCACCAGTTTCTATGATGGGCAATCTCTTCTCGTGTGATGTACTGACTCTGAAAACCTGCTGGAGGGTCAGCTATGAGGCAGTTCCGACTTGGTGATAAATAACAACAACATAACCAGGATTCAAAACAAGAATAGATAATGTTATCTATCATATGGAGATCCAAGATACACTGATTCCATACAATGTTGAAAAAAACAAAAGGTAACAAAAACCCACACTATAAAGAAATCAGACCAATTTATTCCCTAGGAGAAAAAGCATGCTTTGAACAAAGTTTTCAATTTCTATGTATGTCATTTATAAATTAAAAAATTTAACTATTTACATAAATACTTCTGTTTGTAACAGACAGCTGGAATGTTAACTAAAATGATATAATTTAAACACACAAAGTTGACATGGATAGTACAAAATAGTGACTCTTCTAGAAACTGTTATATATACAATAAATATTGCACTTGTCCATCTCCTTTTAAAATAGTGTTTTTATTTTATTTTTTTTTAAATAGTGTTTTTTAGAAAGGACTTAAAATGCAATTTTTATACTTTTTGGAATTTCTGACAAATATATCACAACTTCAAGTAACATCATAGATTTTGTGAAAAATATTTATTTACACTTTTACATATAGCAATAATGTAGTGATCAATTATTAGTAATAGATAATAAGGTATCATTTTAACGTAAGAAAACCAACATTTTAACAATTTAAATGATTTATGACAGAATAATCTATACCGAGCATGTAAAACACATTCACAGCCAACTAGAAAAAATATGAATTAATTATTGTTATTCTCAACTGTAACAATTTTATTTAACTAAAACAAATTTTGGATTAGTTGAGGTACTCAATACTTGAAAAGGCAACTTATTAATGTAATGACAATACACCACATATATATGTAGTGAGTGCAGCAGTCCCTGGTGGTGCAAACAATTACATTTTGGACTGAATGGCTGGCAGCTTCAATTTACCAAGATACTTTAGAAAAAAACCTTAAAGATCTATTTAATGCACTTCTGTAAATTCACTGCCACTGAAAACCCTGTGGAGTGCCATTTCATTCTAAACACAGGAACGCAGTTCACTCCAAGTGCAGGGCTGCCAGGGTGGGATTGGACACAATAGTTTGATTTATTTCTGTGTGTGTTTATGTATTTTATTTTCTTTTTTGTAGATTTTTTCCCTTATTGTTGTGTACCATCAAATCTGGCCTGACTGGCACAGAAGGAGATCGCTCCTCCTTCTCCAGAGGAGTATCTGATCAATTTGAACTGCACACCCTTGGGATTGCAGCACAGCTTCTTGCCACTAGGCCACCAGAGCTCCGTTGTGTTTATGTATGTTGAATGCACGCTGGGTTTGTTTGCTTAGGGCAAAGAGTATCTGCATGCATCAACAAACCAAATTTTTGAGCAAAATTTTAAGTTGCAAACTAAAACTATTTAGGAGTTTTATTTAAGACAAAGGTATGGTCTGGTTTGTTACATAAATTGCAACTTCATAAAGTCCACATAAATATCTCAATTTCTTACTAATCCTAGTTGTTTCTTTCTCCACCTTTCCCTTTTTCACATAGTAATGTCTGTGTCTTTTTAGTAATCACACCAAATAGTACTTTCTTTTTCAACACTTCAGAAATTATATCATTAGATTAGTTAGTATCTTTTGCCCTTTTACTAAGCACATAGTTTCTCTCCTATCATTTTAAGTTACTTTCTTTCACGCATTTGGAATGCTATACCAGAGGAAGTGGATCTAAAGGTAAAATAGACCCCTTGATATAAAATTATCACAAATTTCGACTTGAGAATGATCAAACATGTTAAAATACTACAATCAAACATGGATTTTAAAAGAGATTGAGAAGAGATTTGTCAGTGGTCAGGCATACTTGATAGCAAAATGTATACTTTATCATGCACCGTATCAGTTGAAAAGACAAGTGTTGGCACTTTATGTGGGCAGAGTAGCTGAACTGTCATTTACAGCAGCTTTAATGTCTTGATTTTGGCAGTGTGAACTAGGAACAGAATTTTCACTCTGTCTGTCTACCTTTGGGGAAACAGTTTGTTCTTGATCCTTTCTGCTCTCTTTAGAAGGTCCTAGTGTCTCTCTGCCCTCAGAAGGTTGACATGGACTCTCTGCATGAACTACTTGTTTTCTTGCTTCTGTTTCTTGTTCTTGCAGCAATCTTTCCACCTCTACTTCAAGTTCCAGAGCCTCCTCATCAGCTTGTACATCCAGCTGCTGCATCAATTCCTCCAACTTCTTGGCCTTCCGGAGTTCATTCTGCTGGATGATCGTGCAGAGGTGCTCAGTCAGCTGCTCTTTGATTTCAGTTTTGCGCTGCAGATCTAGCTTTGCCGTAACATACTCGGCTTCAGCCTTGTCAAATCGCTTCCTGTAAGGACAGGTACAAAGACTAGGTCTTTAAGTTTTCTGCTGAAGAAATTCAAAGGAGTAGATAAAAATTATAACTGCATAACAAAATCAGAATAGGAAAATAACAAAAAATAAACATATTAATACCTTATGAACACCAATCTACACTTCACACAAATTGGGCTACAAGTGCTAAACCTAGTATAATATCCTCACATTTAGATTCCCCTCACATGATATTCTGCACTGACAGAAGGCAGGCTAAAGAGGGTTAATTTAATGGTATACTAGCTAACTGGAGAACCCCGGTTAGTAAGGTTTGCCAGTTTCTGTGATATAAAGGCTATCACAACCACTAATTTCAAGATACCAATGGGTTATGAATTGTCTCTTTGAAAATACGTGTTTGGATCCAAGCCCCTATACCTATGAGATGAATCTAATGTAGTCATTTTGCATTCTCATGTACTGTAATCAATTAAACAACTAAGGCTACACCAGGGTAGGGTAGATCCTAAACCTATCCACTTCTGAGATACAAAAAGAAAGAAAAAAAAAGCCGATTAGACAGAGTGATGCACAGACTGAGTGAGGAGACGATCTGATGTTGTATGACCTGATGAATCCCAGGAATTTGAAGGATTTGGTCTCTAGAAGCTGAACTAGATAAAGGAGGATTTCCCTCTAGAGATACATTCTGAATTCAGACTTTCAGCCCTTCTCCCCCACTTCCCGCCAATTGTGAGGAATTTCTGCTCTTTAAAGTTACCTGCATGTGGTATTTGTTACAGCAGCACTATGAAATTAAGACACAATGTGACATTACTGGATGCAGAACTGAGAAGAGGTGTATACCATTTGCCTGAGAGCCAGCACACAACTGGTTAAACTTTTGTAAGAGGCAAACCAATAGATGGAGAAAATAGAAAAGTTGGTATTTTTTTATTAGATGGACTAGAAAAAGAAACCTTTCTGTGGCAGGGCAAGGTGTGAGTAGTGGATGGCAAGAGCACCCCAGATCTGTGGAAAGATGACACTGGGTGAGGGAAAGAATACAAAGAGGAAAAAAGAAAACAGACAACATGACAACGTTGAAAGTAGATGAGAAAACCCCAGCCTGTTAAGGGTTTCTCAAGCTTAGTATTACTGACATTGTGGCCACTGTAGTTCCTTGTTGTGAGAGCAATCCTATGTACAGCAGCCTCGAACCACTAGCTGCCTGCAGAACCCACTGCTGTGACAGCCAACAAGACACTGAGAAATGTCTCCTCGGGGAAAAAATCAGTCCTAAATGAGCGGACCTGGGTAAGCTGTTCTCCCATCATTATCTACTGTGCAACAACAGGCTACTATTAGACTTATTAGGTACGTATTTGGGTAAGAAGCTGTGCTGCAATCCCCAAGGCACGAGGTTCCAATCCGCCAGTTGCTCTGTGAGAGAAGAATGGGCAATCCCGTCCAAATGCATTGCCACTGAAAACCCGTTATGAGTCAGTTTCAACAAAATGGCACACAACAACAACAACAACACACACACACACACACACACACACACACACACACACACACACACAATTCTATAGGGAGGTAACTTACTAGAGTCTTGTGAGAAGTTGGGTAACTCTATTGAATGAGAATCTTTTCTCTGTTGCATGAGGTAGGTCCAGAGCAGAAATTTTTATTGTCTTTGGTTTTCTGTATGTGTTGCCTTTCCTTTCACTATGTGAAGAAGTTTAACCTCACCAATTTGATTTGTTCACTCCCACCAGCACTTTTAAGCTATATGTTGTTGTGTACTATAGAGTGGGAGCCAACCCAAAGCTGACCCTCCAGTAAGTTGTCACCTAATAGTTGACCCTCCATTGAGTTTTCAGAGGCAATTAATCTCATGGAGAAGACTGCCCATCCTTCTCCCACAAAGTAGCTGGTGGATTTGAGCCACATGCCTTCGGGATTGCAGCACCGCTTCTTGCCAGTAGGCCACCAGTGATTGATAGCCTAGACCAACTGAATAGTCAGTACTTAATAGTATGAAAGTCTTGGCAAAGAACACCCAATTCTCTATTATTGACAAATTGTCTGTCTTGCAATAAAATAAACAGTGATAAGATAATAGACTTTGATTTCAGAGATTCCAGTGCTTAAGACCTGTCTGTGTCATTTGTTATGCTTATACTTGTCTTGGTTAAGACCTTGTGGATATAAAGACTAGGTAGGTATCTTGTCAAATTAGCTCAGGCACAAAAGTGAGTTTTTCCCCCCCAAAGGTTAACGTCAGAATCAAGGGCTGTTCAATAATTAGAATACCAGCTTCGCTATCATAATCCCAGCCCAATATGGCCACCAACTGTGATGCTACAATAAATCCCCTCCAGGCAATATCTGGGTTTCTGTTCCAAAATTCCAGAGGAAGGAATTGGGTTGGCCTGGCTCGTTTCTGTTTAAATTGAGATTAGGCCATGCCACAGGCCAGGAACAGTCTCGAGTCACTGTAGGTGTTATCAGATGCTGTTGAGTTGGTTCCAATGAATAGTGACACTATGTCTAACAGCAAAAGCATGGCCTGGTCCTCGGGTGTGCTCCATACCAGCATCATAAGTACAAAATGAAGCCTGGATCCTGAGGAGAGGGCCAGGGAAGAGGCATGCAGTGATTGGTAACTCCAGGAGGGTGACCTTGTTGTTGTTGTTTTGGTGTACCATCGAGTCAGAACTGAGCCATAGCTGACCCTCCCGTGGGTTTTTAGAGGCAGTTAATTGCAAGGGAGATTGCCCATCTTTCTCCCACAGAGCAGAGTGGCTACTGGGCTTGAACAGCCTGTCTTGAAAACTGCAGCACAACTTCTTGACACTAGGCTACCAGAGATCTCTAGAAGCTATTTATGTACTGAATTTTTATTAGTATTTAAAATTGTGCTAATGATAACACCTCACAGAATGCTAATAATATCTCAATTATCAGAATTTCCCTTTCAGAGCACTAGAATACAAAAAGAATTGCTTGTAAATCAGTTAAGATGTACATAAAATTAAGATGGTGCATTCAGGAGCCTAGTATTTATCTTGAAACTTCTTTTGCAATAAAAAAATATTTA